GCGACCAAATTGGTCGCACTCTAGAGCCCTGCATGTGTTACGCAGCACGTTTGAGCTTCTGCAAGAACCAATGAGGTTCATTCTCATGTTACGCAGCACATTTGAGCTTCAGCAAGAACCAATGAGGTTTGTTCTCGCGTGTCAAGCAAGTGCAGTTGAGCTTTTGTTTGTTTGCTGATCAATGTTTATATGTGAATAAAAGCCTAAATTCAATCTGTTCATCATATAAAGCAATTGAGTCTATTCAAAAATTTGACTAAACCACTCGATTCATATGAACTAATTTTACAATCTCTTAATTAACTTTTTGAAGCTACAAAATGGTTGTTGCGTAGAATGTCAGTGGAGGGACAGAAATCTCTCAGATTTCATTAAAATATCTTCATTACTGTTTTGAAGATGAACGAAACTCAGTGAGAGTAATTGATGGAAATTTTTCATTTTTGTGTGAACAAACCCTTTAATTTTATATCAGCAGCAAAATCATTGCAATATATCAATCAATATATGTCGCCTAGCCTTACTTCCAGCTGCTTGTGAACCACTTAAAGCTCTTCAGCATTTGAGGGTACTTTGTAAATATTTACATTAGTAATACTTACAAAACAGTATTCATTCCTAAATGGTTTGGTAGAGTTTCCTGTAAGAGCCTCTTTTTTCTTTCACAGACCATCATCACGATTCCCACAACACAGAAGGAAGAAGCGTAAAGAGATGGATGATACTCTGGCAGAAACCAACCAGCACAAACAAAGTAATTGCTAGATCATAAAAGCCTCTACGCTTTGTTTACTGCTCTCATTTTGGGAAATTAACACTCAGCAACAGCCAAACCAGGGAATTTTGTTTTCACATTGGCAAGTAATTTTGCCTTATCTACTAGCTGTTGTTGCAGGCAGCTGCTCACTTATCTTTATTTTATAATTGTGTGTATGTATATTTAGTCAAAGTAACAAAATAAGGGAAAGAGTAAATGATGATATAGGATGAATTCAGGTCAATTTGAAATTAATGATATAAATGTAAATTGGTAACTTTGCATCTTTCAGATAAATAACATGCTTTATCATTTCTGAGATGCTGTTGGGTTTTCATATCAGAGAACATTCTGAGCGAATTTTTTTTATCTCAAGTCAAGTTTTAGAAAATTATTTGGAATTTGGATGTTTTTGTTTTTGTTTTTTTATCTTCATTTCATAAGACCCATTTCCTGTTTTCTATTGTGCTCCACATCTCATCTTCTCCATCAGATGCGTATATTATCAAGTTATTTGACCGCAGTGTGGACTTGGCTCAGTTCAGCACTACCACGCCGCTGTATCCCATTTGTCGGGCATGGATGAGAAACAACCCCTCTATGCGAGAGAGAACTGCGCCCAGCCCCCCTCACAGCTCCGGGGAGGACGAGGTCACACCCAGCATTCACTTCGCAATTATTTTAAATACACATCCTTTTCAGATCATTGAACTACTCAAAATAACACCTTTGTATTTTGGTTTATGACTGTACTTTGAAGATCAGCATATTCCAAGTTAAATACAAGCTAAACTCTCTCTGACATTGCTATTTGCTACTAAAAATGACAAACAAAATCATGCTTAAATGAACTACTATAATTTACATTACAACTAATGAAATACAATAAAACTAAAATAATAACTAAAAAGAAAAGAAAAAGTAATTTCTGGGGAAATCGTGAAATGTGAAGTTCATATTTTTATTAGAGCACTTACAAAAATTATGTACTAAAAATGTGTAGGTTTAAAATGTTTGTCTAAATCATGTTTAGAAGTTTTTGAAGTGGGACTATTTTTCTTGGTCGATGAACATTTGTTTATATAATTCTGGCAATGAAGTTCCTTTTAAAAAAGTTCCCACGATCCAAGAAACAAAGGAAATGTCCAAAAATGTAACTAGAGACCTAAAATAGTCATTCAAATGTCTCCAGTCAAGAAAGATAAGTTTTTTTAGTTAAACGGTATTTCTTTTGGCTAGAAACTATGTGAGAGTGATCTCTATAAAAACATTTTTTTTAAATTCTCATAGAGTCTAATGACTAATGTCAAGTAAAGGACCCCTGATGTAAACAGATAGTTATCAAGCACCCTTACATATGGTTATTTTAGTGTTTATTCGGGTTATTGTTGCACTATAGACTTCCTTTGCAAGGGCATCCCTGTAAAAGCATTTATAATTGATTTTACAAAATCAGTATATTTGTAAATCATGTCAGACTGCTTGAGTTGTATTTAACTTGGCCTTCACCTCGTTCGTCTCTAATTGAAGTTTGTCCTTGGAGCAAAAGAAGAATTAAAAACATGTCTTGGCCCACTACAGCATAATATCTTAGATAACTATTCAGTTACCTTTTTAGTTGTGAAGTTCAAAGCTTGTTGTTATTAATAATCCTGCAACATCTGGCTTCACTCTCCCTTCTGAATTCAATTACCCAGTGGAGAAATAAATTCATCTTTTTCCATTGAATTTCACTGGCTTCCTTTCACTACTAAGGATTGTCCTTGGCTTCACCTCTTTGAAAAATAGTGTACTTTTTGCCCCAACAATCACAATTGAGGGAAACTGCTCTTTGATTCTTATTCTTTCAGATGACTGACATGCTGAATGGCAAAGGACAGAACGTGTGCAGGCTTCCTCCGCCTGTTTCCTGTCCAGTAGGTTCAGCTGGTGAACCTGTTAATCTCAGAATTCCACCTGTAGAGAAACCAGCAGAGAGCCAGGTGGGCTATGTACATGGCATACAGGAAACGCTTATCTTTCTTTGAGGCTCTGCATTTAAACAATCCTTTTGACAGGAACTGTTAAATGACAGAAGATAAAGTTGCCTTCAAACACTTCTGCTTAACCCTTTAACGATCTTTGTTAGGAATGTAATAAGTAAACCTTTTTGATTACTGAATTGATTGGTCTTGTCATCGTTTAAAGAGGACCTATTATGCTTTTTTACATTTTCAGGTATCTTTAGTGTGTAATGTTGCTGTTTGAGCATGAAGTCATAAAGCACAAAGTCACTCATAAGGGAGTTATTCTCTATATTCTGAACTCCCTGAAACACCTAAATTGCAGTCTTGAGATTCCTCAATTAAATAATTCCCACCCAAGGCATACGCAAAATAATGTGGTTGAGGCCTGGTTGAGTTGCGTTAGTAGTGTGGTGAAACTCGTGGTTATGGTAAGGGGCGTGACATTTCCGAAACCCGCTTGAAGCGGTTGACCAATCATACACTCTGGTCCAGCCGACCAATCAGAGTACACTGTGCTTTTCGGAAGGAGTGGCTTCATTTAGACAGGAACTAAACAGGGGTATGTTTCCCGTACAACGACATAACTCGCTGCTTAACTACCATAGTACGATGCATCGTTGAAGATATCACCTAGCTAGTCACAATTGTTTCCTGAAACCGCATTGCCGCTTTTGGTCGTTCAACCACGTTGCTTGATGTCACGCAGGTGGTGAAGTAATAACTACTTTTAATTAATCTGTTTGAGGTCGAATTAACGCTAGATGTTTTGCTATAAATTATGGACGTGGCACCTGAGGACTAATTCTCATTTTTCTCAGTTATTTTCCTTTATTTTCAGATTCAATCATAGGCTCGTTCTTACGTAGTAGAGCACGTTCGCACATGTGCACTATTTAAAAAAACGACTCTTTAAATCTCTTGACAAAGAGACGCAAATGGCATTTGTATGTATTCTAAATAAAAGATACAGATTGTACTGAATGTCAGCGTGCTTATTTGGCTCAAGATAAGTATTTATTGAGCCCACATGTCATGCAAACAAGAAACTATGCTTCTAACCACAGGTCGAGAGCTGTCGTTCCAACCACACAACTCTGCAATGCTGTTTGGGAATGTTCGTTTGAACTATTTTTTAGGGAAACACAGACTTGTTGAACTATGCTGATAACGACGGAACTTGCGACCATAGTTTACTAACGATGCTTTTGGGAAACACACCCCAGAGCATTACTGACAGACTAAGTAGAGAGGTACTGCAACAATATAAAATATGTTTTTTCAACATGCACCCATGAAAACCTATTCTTGTAGACCCCCAAAACAAAATCAAGACTTTGTATAAGGGCATACCAGGTCCTATTTAAAGTTTGCAATACTCTAATGTTGCTAAATTGTGTGCTTCATGTGGCCATATCCATTTGTGACTTTTTCTTTTTCAGTCCATAGACACTGCAGCAGGCACCTCACCTCTTATCTACAGTCACATCAAACGCTGGAAGAAAATTAGACAAAAGTATAACTTCTCATCATTCATTCATGTCCACTTCTTTTATGGGGGATGGGTATTTACAAATTAAATTGTGCATATGTTCTTTATCATTTGTTTCATGTGTGTTTTAGGTGGAAGGAGGCCTCCAGCAAGAACCAGCTGAGATACAGCGAGAGCATAAAAATCCTTAAGGAAATGTATGAACGTTAGTTCACATGCATCCCTAGAGCATCTGAAGAAAATCTGTTAAAGGAATTAAACAAAAATATCCAGGCAGGAAGCCTTCAAGGAGAGTGAAATGTTGTTGTAACCAAAATGTTGAATTGAGAGCTGAACTTTAGCATAAAAAATGTGAGTTAAATGGATTTATCTTTTTTTTTTTCTTTAAATACAAAAAAAAAAAATCACATGGGTTTCGAATAACTCTACAGTACTGAATTTGATGTGTTTGTTAAATAAATTGAAGGAATTCTTTATGACAGTTCTTGACCCCTTTGCTACTTCAATGCTCAGTGTTTGTCTATCACCTATTTTTGCATGTGTAATATTCTGAGATGGCACATTAAAGAAACTGCATACCCAATGGGAAACATTTATGCAGTATTTTTAACTCCAAAGAGTCCCATTCAAAGCTTGTTTACATGCTTTTATTCAGAATAAAGGGAACAAAATAGCTAAAGGTACGAAGTGGCGTATAATGGAAATTGCAAAGCAAATTGTGAGTGTGATTTTCTCAAAGTCTTGTGTTTTTCTGGCATCCGTTAGGTGTGGAGGTGCTGGTGCCTTTTGTCTGCTTTTTGGCCCTGAAGCGGACTGAGATCTGTGATCTCTTACATAAACCATCAGGGGGATCTGCGGTATTACCCCTTATTCAAGCTGGCACACCAGATCCTCCTGTGGGCCCAAGGGAAGCTGCTCTCTCTGAGAGCAGTATACATCCCGGGGTATCTAAATCAGGGAGCACACATCCTGTCAAGGCAGGGGCTGAGGCCCTAGGAATTGAGACTCCACCCCGAGGTGGCGGACCTCTATTAGGAGAATTTCGGCCTAGCGGAAGTAGATCTTTTCACATCTCTAGAGATGACACATTGTCCACTGTGGTTCTCCCTCACTCATCCAGCTCCTCTTAGACTGGACTGGACGCCATGGTACAGACATGGCAGAGGCTACGTCTGTACGCCTTTCCCCCAAGCGGAAGTAAATCTCTTCGCACCTCTAGAGATGACACATTGTCCACTGTGGTTCTCCCTCACTCATCCCGCTCCTCTTAGACTGGACGCCATGGTACAGACATGGCCGAAGTCTGTACGCCTTTCCCCCGATCAGGAGTTCTGGAGAGGAGTCTGTCTTCTGCTAGTAGCCCCGTTCTGGCCGGCCCGAGTGTGGTTCTACGATCTTGTATCTCTCTTCAACGGCTCTCCTCTAGAGATTACGCTCAAGAGGGACCTTCTTTCTCAGGCAAAGGGGTCAATCCTTCACCCCCATCCAGAGTTATGGAAACTGTTCACTTGGCCTAGCTCATAAGTTCAGGTTTCTCAACCGAGGTTGTTGAGACCATCCTCGACTCCAGAGCTCCGTCCACGAGGAAACTCTATGCTTTGAAGAAGAGAGTATTCACTTCATGGTGCGGAAATCACCTGCTGGATCCAGTTAACTGCCCAGTGGGTGCCGTACTGGAATCAGGGTTTCCCCGGAGTCATAAAAAGTCATAAAACGTCTTAAATTTAATAATAAGAATTTTAGGCCATAAAAAGTCATAAAAACGTCCGGATTTTCCATACAAGGTCATAAATTACATTTAGCCAAGTCTTAATTGATATGCTCATTCATTTATTATCGCGATATAATTTTTTCTCTATAAAACGATATCAAGAGTTCGATAAATGTTCGATAATGTTTATGCGCCAAAAAGCGGAACGAAATCATTTGAACCGCGCGCGCCTCACGGACTGTTTATCCGCTCGGCTCAAAGTCCAAACGGCAGCCCGCAGCGTGAGCTGCACGAGAGCAGACGCGTTTACTCTGATCGTCTCGCTCACGAGATCCAGTGAGAAGCGCTTGAATTCAGCGAAGAACACAAATGTCTCAGTAATTTAAACCAGTTTAAAGGCAGATGAAACAGCGCTGACAAACAGGAGAAACACTGTGCGCAACGATACAGTCAGAAAGCTTTTCCGTCTACAAATTGCCATCATTTACCATGGATTTACTGTAAAGTTAGTTTAGTAATATTAACTGCACCATGTGGGATATACATATTGAATAGACCATTTCAACGGCTATTTGTAGATGGAAGGAAGTGACGTGTTTGGCCCTCAGAAGTTTCCGGTTAGTTAGCGCACACATTCGAAAAAACGGCGGGATGCGCTTTATTTACTCTTTATATACGGCAATTGTGCGATAATTTTCTTATTCATGCGAATAAAACATGTCAAAATTAAAATTAGGAGCATATTGTTCAGTGGTTGGATGTTCTCTCAGGCCCGGAACTAACTTGCTCTCGGAAATCAAAGCGTTTAGATTTTCGATATGAATTCGCTCCTGGATTGCAGCAGTGAGAAGAATGGATACTGAGCAACAATATCCAGTGTACACATTTGGTACACGATTCTGGTAAGTAAAATACTTATTTTTTTCATTGGATTATTTGTATTTCTCTACTTTAACTGTTTAAGTATGATACAGCATAATTTAAGCTAGCACTGTTGGTCCGACCGTAATTGTTTACATATTATGCACCTAGCATTTTGACGCGTGCGTAGTGAAAAGGGGCAAGTTTTTATTTCCTTTTTTTTTCTTCTAAATGTTCTGTGGGCTGTAATTAAGTAAGTTAGGAGTTTACTTTTGTTGTCAAGCTGTCTAGTCAGTTGACAACTGCAGAATTGTGTGCAACAGCTAACTGCAGTAGTTTACAAAAGGTAAAGGTAAACATTTTGTCATCACTTATTAAGCTTGGCTAATGTTAATTCCAACATTTACTGATGTATTACACAATAATAGCATTTTTTTTTTTTTACATATTGTGCATTAACCAGATTAAGTAAAATAATTGTTTCTACTTTTGTCTTCAATAGGAAAGCCATCATCTGTAATTTAAGACGCTTAACACTGCTACAGGAAGACAGCTGATCGTCCTGCAGTGCCAAACCACATGTGACCTATCAAAAACTATATATAGTTTTTGATAGGTGGATTTGATAGTAGGTTTGATATAGTGGATAATAATGGATAATTATTAGGCATGTTTTCTTTTACAGATAAAATAAGCCAAAAAAAAGAGATTTAACTCAGACTGAAAAGTCACAAATTTTTAAATGCCCATGAGAAGGATGCAATACTAGGAATTGCAGTTAAGGCTTGACCCATTGGACAGTGAAATGCTCATTGGGTCAGAGGAAAACAGGTGGAGAAGAAAATACGCATGTTAGCTGTAAAATAATTAACGTGAAGAATTAAGCGTGAAACCATCAGGAACTATTTAGTCTCCAGCGCCGCCATTTTCCAGAACTGCAACCTGGAGTCTCCAGAAGAGCAAGATATCAGGATCTCAGAGACTTAGGGTAGGTAAAGAATCCTAAAAAATGATGCCCTCTTAATAAGAATCACAAGCTGAAGTTGGTAAAATACATGAAGACTGTTTTTTTTTATAGGCCCTATAGACAGACAGATCGAGAGTGACTCTTGACGGACCAGCACCACATCCTCTTGTACCACTGTTTGAAGAATTCATCTTCCAGAATCTGGCAGTAAGTTTTGGGAGTTAATTTTTAGTCCATCTCCTACCCTGAAGTCCGTTTTGCAGAGATGGACTAAAAATTAACTCCCAAAAGTTACTGTCAGATTCTGGAAGATCATGTATTCTACTACACTTCAGCTAGTGATTCTTATTAAGTGGGGGTCATTTTTAAGGATTCTTTACCTCTCTTTTTTGGCTTATTTTATCTGTAAAAGAAAACATGCCTAATTATGCACACCCTGAATATAAGGCGTTTTTCATTTCCTGCCTTCATAAACAATTATATATCACTTGTAAATGATTAAATACAAAATGAATAGTAGTTATTAAGATTAATGTGGTTTGGAATTGATAAAATTGATAAAAAAAATATGATCAGAAAATCAACTTGCCTAATAATTCTGCACACACTGTATGAAGCCCCAGATGTTTTGGAAAACTTGAGGATTGATATTGACCCCCTTTGTTCAGAGACTCATAACTCCATTTCTGTTTGTAAAAAAAACAAAAACATTCTGTGAAATGTTTTATGTTGTTGTCTCAGTTGTTGAAGCATTTTGTTCATACAAGTATTTACACATAATAAGAAATTGGCTGAAAATAAAAGCTGTTGAAACTTAGAGGATGTTTCTTTTGTTTATGTATTTATGAATAAATGCAGTAGTCAACATTTGAAGGAGACCTAACCCTTTCATCAAAGTTATACATTAATATTGAACAAACCCCATTCTTGTCTTAGGACAACTTTGATTAACTTCTTTGATCCACTTCAAATGTTGACTACTACAGATGAAACTCAAAACATTAGAATATCATGCAAAAGTTAATTTATTTCAGTAATTCAACTTAAAAGGTGTCAATAATATTGTGAAAACATTTTCATAATATTCTAATTTTGAATTCATAAGCCATAATCAAAATTATAACAAATAAAGGCTTGAAATATCTCACTTTGCATGTAATTAATCTATATAATATATTAGTTTCACCTTTTAAGTTGAATTACTGAAATAAATTAACTTTTGCATGATATTCTAATTTTTCAAGTTTCACCTATATACATACACACACACAGCAAATCTGTATGTGACTATTTGAAAACCATAAAAGAACATTTTACCTTCAAGGACCTAAAAAGTGTATTCTGTGTGTTTTATTCTTAATTGTACAATTATTAATCTGCATGTATCTATGTTTCTCTTAAATGGCTAATACGGGCACTAGAAAATAAAGACAGCCAGCTTTAAATTGCATTCACCTTCTATTTATTTGTGACCACATGAATGGCTCAGATAGGACATTTAAACCCTCGCACACCGTTCCACAGCAACAACTTCACCTAACTAAACACACACCCTTGGAAACGTATGAAATGAGTAATGGCATATAGCGATTAGTTTACTAGCGTACATTTAGCATTCATATACATGGATGTTCTGTAAAGCTGCTGTAAAACGATATGTATTTTGAATAGCGCTGTACAGATAAATATGAATATTTGCAGATAGACTGACAAACCCAGCAATGCAAGTGAAATGCCCACTCGTAACCTCGTCAGACAAACCATAAGTACGTTTTTGACGCTATTTTGACTTGCTTCATCTGCAACAAACAAGACAGGTGTCATCCACATTGTACGAATAAATGTTCCCAACCTTTCCGCTAAGAAATTAATTGTAAGCATCCAGACTGCGATATGCTTTTATCGCATTTCTCGACTCTCGTGTACACGCAAGCAGC